ATGCTGGGTTAAATTTAAATTAGTTTTATTTAACTCAACTATTGCTTAAAAATTACTACAGTGTATTTCTTGCTTGAACCCAAAATAGGTTGGAAATTAATATGTATTAATATGTTCAATAAATAAACATTTATTAATAATTTGAATGAACAATAATTAAATAATAAACCTTTTTAAACAGCTTATTAATAAATTGTCACCTTTTGATTATCGCTGATGCCTCTGTGTCGGATTTTTAATTTACAACCAATTTTGGACCATTTTATTCATTTTAAGCCAGCCATATAGCAATTTTTAAACAGTAGCGGAGTTAAAGAAAACAACCCAGAAGGTTGGGTTTGAAGTGTAACAGGTTTGCTCTAACTTTTTACTTCATTGCTGGGTCAAATGTGTTCATTATAAAGGGAAAACGGAGAGCTGCTGGGATTGCTTCTGCTGTCCCATGAGGTTGGTGTAAACAGGTCACCATCTCACTGAATAAAGCATAGAACTCCTCGTCCTTAAGGACAACACATACCTGCTGGAGAACTCTCATGACATTTCACTGAATAATGTCAAGATAAAACCAACTCAGTATTAAAAATTATATTCTTTATCTTTAATAATATGTTTTTTTTGTTTTTTAATAATCTCTCTGCCATCCAAGACACTTCAGTGCATCTGTTTATTGCAGTTCTACATTTGAATTAAACCTCTTGAAGTGTGAGGTGTCACTCATGGATCAAAGTAAGAATATTAGAGGTGACGCTCTACTCTGGAGTGAAAGAACATGTGTCTCACACACACACACACACACACACACACACACACACACACACACACACACACACTCTCTCTGTCATAGAAGCAGATCATCAGAAACCATTATCATTTCATGATTATTGTTCATTACGTCTACAGTGTCACATCTTTCCACATTTTTCAGTTTATTAATTTCTGTCCTTTATGGCTCCTTCACAGATTAAGGAACACTCATTCTGTGGGCATAATTAACAATATAAATAACACAGAAAAATCTTAATAAACATTTGAAATTGTTTTTGTGTAAAACATGAATATTTATAGATTTTTGTTACGCTTCTAGAAAAAAAAAACATCTCAACGAGCTGGTAATCTACATTTATGTTTAAAAGTTTGGGGTGAGTAAATTAGTTTACCTTTATTTTTAATAATTTTATTTAACAAGGATGCATTAAATTGTCTAAAAGTGACAGTAAAGACAAAAGTTCTGTTTCAAATAAATTGTTCTTTTGAACTTTTTCTAATTATTAAAGAATCCAGAAAAAAAGATTTTTCACAGTTTCCAGAAAGAACAGTTTTCAACATTGATAATAATAAGAAATGTTTATTGAGCAGCATATCAGCATTTTAGAAGACACTGAAGACTGGAGTAATGGTTGCTAAAAAGTCAGCTTTGCCATTACATGAATAAATAACATTTTTGAATATATTAAAAAAGAAAACACACACACACACACACATATATATATATATATATATATACTGTATATATTATTATTATTATTTTTTTAATTTAAATTGTAATAATAAGCAATATTACTATTTTTACTGTATTTATGATCAAATAAATGCAGCCTCGGTGAGCATAAAAGAAGACAATCTTACCGACCATTTTTGAATGGTATAGTGTAAATAGAGTATGTGCATTTCATGTCACAACTCATATGTTCAATACAGAGTTGTTTTTTAAAGCATTTTTATGGCTGTCCAAATGTGACACTTCATAATAATTTGAGAAATTGATCAATCAATTAAGAAGTGTATAAATCAAACAAGGAATCTATGTACCGTATTCTGTCATGTTGTTCAAAACTTATATGACAAAAGGAGACATTTTAAAAATGTTCAAGCTGCTCTTTTCCATACACTGATAGCCAATGGTTACTAATGGCTTTCAATCTTTTAAAATATAAAGCATAATGAAACTTGTCTAAATTACCAAGTCTTCAGAAAATACAGAAATTTAAGTCCGAATTCACTAAAATCTAGAATCTTATTCATGTTTGCATATTCAGATATGGTGTGTGACTTGACTTGACAAGTGTCGCTGGTTATAAGACACTTGAGAACCAATCAAAATGCACCAAATTTGCATATGCACTATTCATATAGCACAAATGAGAACTGTTAGAGAGTGATTTATTTATTTTTTTGTCGTTTTTGGAGCTTGACACAGCCCCTGGTCACCATTTACTTTAATTGTATTGATATGAGAGTATGAACAGCCTTTTCATTTTGTGTTTTACTTATAAAAACACATGGATTTTCATGAACCATCTAATGGACTCATCAAACTGAGCTTTATCTCTGTTGTCAGTATAAACTCCAGTCCCACGAGTCCTTTCAAAAGTTCACCTAAAGCATAATGACTGTAAAAGCTACATTTCTATCCTGATGATAATCTTTCTCAAAGCACCAAAAGGTAATTTAACTTTAAACATGGTGATTTATTATTTATGTGTGTGGGAATTGAATGCACTAGGTTCAGAACTATATATAAGATCGATTGATTTCTTTCCTCACATAAAGCACTGAATGATAAACCTATTTCCTACTGAATTTGTCTCAAGTGGGTGTTTTTTTCTGAAAGTGTGTTGCGTTTTAATTAAAATGAAAAACCATCAGGTTAAGAGGTTCAAATAGCTCAAGGGCAAAGAATACAGCAACAGCGGAAATTTGCATATGCACTATTCATATAGCACAAATGAGAACTGTTAGAGAGTGATTTTTTTTTTTTTGTCGTTTTTGGAGCTTGACACAGCCCCTGGTCACCATTTACTTTAATTGTATTGATATGAGAGTATGAACAGCCTTTTCATTTTGTGTTTTACTTATAAAAACACATGGATTTTCATGAACCATCTAATGGACTCATCAAACTGAGCTTTATCTCTGTTGTCAGTATAAACTCCAGTCCCACGAGTCCTTTCAAAAGTTCACCTAAAGCATAATGACTGTAAAAGCTACATTTCTATCCTGATGATAATCTTTCTCAAAGCACCAAAAGGTAATTTAACTTTAAACATGGTGATTTATTATTTGTGTGTGTGGGAATTGAATGCACTAGGTTCAGAACTATATATAAGATCGATTGATTTCTTTCCTCACATAAAGCACTGAATGATAAACCTATTTGCTACTGAATTTGTCTCAAGTGGGTGTTTTTTTCTGAAAGTGTGTTGCGTTTTAATTAAAATGAAAAACCATCAGGTTAAGAGGTTCAAATAGCTCAAGGGCAAAGAATACAGCAACAGCGGCTTGGATCCAAGGATAATTTCTGTACGGAACATTTATGACTAGGATAGATGGTCTGTATCCAATAAATACTTGTTTACAGCACAGTTTTTCAATGATTAATATTAATGATATTCTCATTATTTTCTTAAAGGTGTCCTAATTGTATTATTTTTCCCTGTGGTCCACTTACAACGTAATTCATCTTTTATCATACTAAACGCAATCATAATTTTTCAAGACCATTATCTGACCTTCAAGGATGAACAGTTTATTTTTCATCTTAGCCTTAATAAATAGTCTTTTGGAGGAAGTTTTAGACTTGATTAAGCTAATTTTTTTACTCGAATTACGACACCGTATGCTGCGTTTGGAGAGGATCCCGAGTCTGCTTATTCAATTTTTCATGTTTACTTCCTGTTCTCAAACGGAATACTAATGTGCGCGTGTTGTTTCTCAGACCTTTTTCATCACTCAGTGAATAAGTCACCTGTATTAATGCAACAATAACAAAATGACATGAAATTTCACACACAGTTTATTTCATTAACTACAGAACTCTCTCTCTCTGTTATGCAGCTATAGTGCATATCCCCCCTCTCACTCAGACTTTCTTATTCCCTCCTCACTAGTATCTACTAAAATAGTAAAAAGACTGAAGATTTCAACACATTCAACAGAAACACATAAGTGGTGCTAGGTTTAATAAAATGCAGTCGCTATACAGTGACTGCTGGGTTACTACTTTATAACCTGTATTTTACAGAAAATTATAAACTGGTTGTCGAGGCTGGGTGATTAATATCTACTTGTTTTTTTTACAATCTTAATTGTCATAAGATCTCATTTAAATGAGAAGTGTCACATAAATATTAAGTATGGCATCTGTTGAATTTAATTCAAAATTGAGCATCAAATCAGCATATTAGAATGATTTCTGAAGGATCATGTGACACTGAAGACGGGAGTAATGATGCTGAAAATTCAGCTTTGCCATTACATGAATACATCACCTTTTAAATCATATCAAAATAGAAAACATTTATATTAAATTGTAATAATATTTTACAATATTGCTATTTTTACTGTATTTTCGATCAAATAAATACAGCTTTGGTGATCATAAGAGACTTTTTAAAACAAAAACATCGTACTGACCCCAAACAGTATTGAACATCCAAACACTAATTAATTTACATAAAATAATACAACTCCAGAAGTACACAGTGCTATGTTGGTTACCATAACCTGGTCATTTGGGTGCCAAAATAGATATGAAACAGCTGTTATTCAACAATCTTCCAGATATCAAAAGTTGTTTAGTTTAGTTCTCTCACAATACATCACAGAGAAGAAAAATGCGCTTGTGTTTTTGACGAGAGAAGCTTTAGGAGATCAAACACCCCACAGGCACGATCTAATGAGAGAATTTCCAGCCCTAACAGCGTTTCTAAACATTACTCACACTGAGGCCATGATTTGACTGACAAGCAGAGAGTAGAAAATCTGGGGTTAAAATTAAACATCTAGAGAATGAACAATATGATTGACTAGGTGTCTTTCTTTGAGATAACTGAATAAAGAAATAAAAGCCCTATGGTTTGATGAAGGCATACATGAAAATGAAGCATATGCATTTATTTCATCTGGCTGAACAGAAACGGGTTCTTGTTTAAATGCAAACCTGCTCTTAACATTTAATATCTTAACTGTTACATTAAAGGTTGCACTGTAAGGCAGCTCACCTGGTATGAAAAAGTGCAGCGTAGGCCTCACTTCCCGCCAGGACGTAACTGATCCCGATAGACACACTGTTAAAGAAAGTTCATTATCAGCACGCGTTACAATAATGACACTATTTCATATTCATGAGGAGCTGTCACAGGAATCAAACAGGAACCTTTACTGCGCCAACTCAAAGATGGACAAAGCCAGATGTTTAATCTTTTTCAATCTTTTGACTACTGAAAGTTATGAAACTTCTTCAAACTTTTAAACTTCATCAATGTTAAAACATTTCACACGTTCAGGAATAAAGATCAGCTTTAAAGTGGATTTTGGTATAATGTGTGATGGTTCAGATTTTTGATTTTGTGTGTGATGCAATTAAGTTTTTCACTGTTTTGAAGAAAAGTTGGATAAGCCTTAGGCTTGCTATTAAGAAAGTCATAGTAAGAAAGTTTAATAATAATAATAATAAGAAGAAGAAGAAGAAGGAGAAAAATAAGAAATCTAACGTATACAAGACGTGCCTACGCACCTTCGGTGCTTGGCCCCTAATAATAATAATAATAATAATAATAATGTATTTATTTAAATAAAAAATTTCAAATAATGACTATGACAGCTACAAACAAACAATAAATAAATAGCATGATGGAAGTGAAAAAAATTCTACTCATAAAAAAAAGTTTATAAAGAAGAATTTTAAAAAGTCTCAAAATATATAAAACCAAAATACCAAAAATAGTTAGACGACAGTCAAATTGGCTGACAAAACCTATAAAATAAGCCAAATTTCTAAATAAATAAATTAAAAAATTTATAAAATGCATTAAATAATTACTAGTTTGGTAATGACATCTTGAAACAAACATTAAATCAATAAATAAAAAAATACATTGCATTAAAATAAATAAATATATTACATGATGGTAGTCATCAATCAATCAATAAATGAATAACATACAAATTGTACTCATAAATACAAAATTAACAAAGCATTTGATTATAGAGTTTAGAATTTAGAATAAAATATAAAATGTCTTAAGATACATAAAATCAAAATACAAAAAATTGTAAATTTTTTCATGAAGAGGAGAGAGTAATTAAAGAGACCTTTTAAACTAGAATCACGGCAAGCTTTTTTAAACATTTTATTTATTTATTGTCTTTTAAAAGCAACCTCTCCTAATTTAAAAATCACAAATGATAACTTTTCAGAATCTCTCAGTATCTGGCACAAACGTATCATTGAATGCTGAAGCTCTGAGTGAGTCAGTCAATCAGTCAATGTACAAAAGGCAGTTGTGTGCCAGTATGAAAGAACTACAGAAGGAAACACATAGGAGAAGAGGGAAATAGAAACCTTGACTTGCACCATCATACAGGACAGCACAGTGTGGATCTGTGGTCCTTGACTGGATAGAGAACGCAATCTGTCATGGAGGCACATTGATCGAGTGCCAAGCCTCTTGAACACAATGAGCAGAGAATTGATTGGATGTGTGTTAGCCAAACCTGCCTAAATGCTGATAACAAGCTCTTTTCCATTCAGTTGCATGACCGGGCATGCAGAGCAGCGCAACAAATGATTCACTGTTAAGTGTCAAAGGCATTTCACAGTAATGACCACTGATGCCCTTAGTGCATTGCTACTCTTATTTTCCCAGCAAAAATCCAAGCAAAACTCATGCATTTTGGATTCTGTATTTAGTTTTGCAATATCATCCATAGAGGACACAGGTACAGCAGTCACAATGTCAACGTGGGCAGAACAAATCAATTTTGCTTGAAAATCTATCAAAGAAATTGATTTATGCTGGTTAAAACTTACTTTAAAGCCCTCCAAAACTTTAAATTGGGCTAAAAGATGAAAAATAACTGGGGAAAGGCTACATTTCTAACATCGGCTAATTAATAATGGCCCATTTAAAGACGAACAGATGGGCAGCCATATTGGAGACTAGTACAAAAAGCAGCTGACCATTATTTCATTATTGTGCACCATTTTTCCAGAGGTGAAATGTTAAAACTGTTGTTCGGGGCAATACTGACATTTCACACATAAATGACACTGCATTTTATGGCGGTCTAGAGAGCATAACATGGATTAAAACCTACTTAATGCTTTGATCCAGTGAGGATGTTTGTGTCTGTACCTCGTCAGCGGAGAGGAGCAGCTCTTAACTCAGTGAGAGCTCTCAGTGACTTCATTAACCTTTTTTTTATCAAAAACTAAACGAGACGCTCTGCTCAGTCTAATTGAAGGGGTTCAGTGACATTTTAGCGAAGCGCTTTTGTGACACGTTTATGAGACTGTTCTTCACAGAATCTTGTTTTAATGGCGAATCCTGTAATACATGCAAATACCTGAGAATGGCTGATGTCACGTGGCACCTGCTGGTAGTTTCTTTTAGTGACCAGAAAAGGAAATATTGTAAAATTGTAGCGCAATTGGGATTTATTATGTTTTCTGTTGTTGTTTGCAAGCCTTTTATGGAAACATCTATCATTGCCTCTATAAAAAAAACAATGATAATAGGCAATGAGAAAAACAGATTTATGATGTTCAAAGCATTGTAATAACGTCAAAAGAACACAATTTTGATGCTATTTCAGGAAGACATGTCCCTTGTGACTGAACAAGCATTTTGCATTTTATAAAGAATGATTTACATTTTTCCTTTCTGTAAATCAACACATTTTGCAGCATCTTGTGCATCTATTACAAGCGAGGAATATTTATTTATACATAATAATTGTTTTTTAAATATGTGTATTTTTTATTATTAATATTATTTTGTGCATATATTTGAATATATCTCAGAAAACCTTATATAATATGCATGAATATGTATGGCCCTTAAACAACGCTTTTGCTAATAAAGAGGACAGGAAATACATGCTGCTTCTAAATAAATTAAAGCTAAATTAAGGAAATACATGCTGCTTCTTTTCACGCTAGCAGCTTCTCTATAAGCTAATGATACCTCAAAGCACTCTAATACAAAAAGAGCTTTTGACTCGGAGCCAGTTCAACATTAACGTGAGCTCACAATGCCAACATCATGTTAAAACAAAATTTAAGAGCCCAACATAAGTACAATAAGTTTACAGTTCAGGGCGAATTACAAGTCTTAGTATCAAAGCTCTATGTGAAATTTATGAATGCTGTCTCGTATTTCAAGGCTATAAGCTCTCTCCTCTATATAGCCCGATGGTGTCCAAAAGTGCATGACTCATCTTTGCATCACTGGGAATAATGTTGAAAGGTAAAAAATTAAATGAGATGGGCTAGATTGTATACCCAAAATACCAAAGGTCAGAAACTATGTAACACATAATGAAAAATATATTTTAGTTTAGTATCAAGGGTGCAAATTATGGGGTGAGGGGTGAAAGGTGGTTTTACTAATTTTATTAAAGCTTGCAACAGGCTTGGTGGTGCTCTAGCTGGCGGATACTCATGCTATTCACTTTCAAAACTCAAACTAAAAAATTATAACTAATGGTAATCTAAATTAACTGGTTTTATTAAAACAAACACAAATATTAAAACAAATATTTAGCATCACTGAATCAGCCTAAATACATTAATTTACACCTTACACCTACATTTGAATGGGTTAAATCAGTTAAAAATCATCTTTAAAGGAATAGTTCACCTGAAAATGAAAAGTTGCTGAAAATCTACTTCCCCTTCAGGAACTCGAGCTGTGTCGAAGTCGCTTTGGGAACGCCCCTGCGTGACCGCGTTCTGAAGCACGTGTCAAATCAGTCCAATGGAGTAGCGAGACGTCACGAGCGGGGTGACATAAGCACCAGAAAGTATAAAAGCGCATCCGGTGTCTATGTGTCTGTCTATTTACTGTTGTCTGTCCGCACAAGCATATATAAAAAACAATCATGAAAAAGTCTATGGCGAGCGAACGGCATTACAAATGCTGTGTTCCTCCCTGCCCACGATATCTGGCGGCGGGGGATACACACAAGCGGAGCATGCACAGTCAGCTCTCGAGGGGGCTGATTGTCATGACTGCAAGCTGCTCGCGCTGCGCACGCTCCGCTCTCGCCTGGACGTGTTTGATGAGAGCGGCCAGGCTCGCGATCCCGCTGTTGCCGAGGTACAGTTGTCGTGGGGATCGCGGGTGGATTTAGCGGAGGGATCTGAGACTAGATCCACGGCTCTCTCTCAGTGTTCGGAAGCCTGCGCTGCGGTTTCTTCCCACCCCCCCAGAGAGAGAGAGCCAGAAGCTTCATCTGATGAGAGTCGAGACAGAGGAGAGATAGTATCTCAGATCCAGTCCGAGGACTGGTTTGTTACGATAGTTCTCAAAGATGCTTATTTCCATGTTTCCATCCTCCCTCAACACTGGAAGTGCCTAAGGTTTGCTTTCGGGGGCAAAGCATACCAATATTGAGTTCTTCCCTTCGGCCTGTCACTCTCACCCCGCACTTTCACAAAGTGTGTGGATGCTGCTCTGGCTCCTCTGCGACTCCAGGGCATCCGCATACTCAATTACATCGACGATTGGTTAATACTAGCTCAGTCGGAGCAGATGGCGGCTCGGCATTGAGATGTCGTCCTCGCCCATATGAGAGAGCTGGGGTTAAGACTAAATGCCAAGAAGAGTGTTCTTTCTCCACTACAGAGAACCACTTATTTAGGCGTGGTGTGGGACTCAACCTCGATGCAGGCACGTCTGTCTCCTGCTCGAATCGAGTCAATCCTCACGACAGTCACGAGAGTAAGAGAAGGCCAGTCACTCACTGTCAAACAGTTTCAAAGGCTGTTGGGCCTGATGGCAGCGGCGTCCAACGTGATACCTTTTGGCCTGCTGTACATGAGACCCTTGCAGTGGTGGCTCAGAACCAAGGGATTTTCCCCGAGGGGGAATCCGCTTCGCATGATCAAGGTCACGTGGCGATGCTTACGTGCCTTAGACATGTGGAAGAAACGTTGGTTCCTAGTTCAAGGCCCGATGTTAGGGGCTCCTTGTCGTCGCGTAACGCTAATGACGGATGCCTCTCTCATAGGCTGGAAAGCGGTCATGAGTGGCCACTCTGCCCAGGGTCTGTGGGAAGGCCATCATGTCTCCTGCGTACCTAACTAGTCTTCTACCATGCTACAATCCATCACGCTCCCTAAGGTCGCAAAATTCTGGACTTTTGGTAGTACCTAGGATAGCAAAGTCCACTAAAGGAGGTAGAGCTTTTTCGCATTTGGCTCCCAAACTCTGGAATAGCCTTCCTGATAACGTTCGGGGTTCAGACACACTCTCTCTGTTTAAATCTAGATTAAAGACACATCTCTTTGGCCAAGCATTCAAATAATGCATCTCATAATCTTGTACTGCAGTTATATCTAATCAAATGCACATTATTATTCTTTAGTTTGGGTTAAACAAATCAATTTTGTTTGGTTGGAACAGCAGCTACGCTAATTATGTGTTACGTCTTGAGACATATTGTGTATGTGTCTTGCTTTGCTGTTTCTCTCTCTCTCTTTCTTTCTCTTTTGTCATCCTTTCTTTCACAGGATTGGATACTACCAAAGTGATGTCCAGATCTGATTGGTGCTAATGGGACCAAGGAGCAGCAATAAAAGGATCTGTTGTGCCTGAGGAGGGAGCTCTGATCAACTTGTGATTTCCTGTTGTTCCATTGCACATGTGCTATTGTGTGTTTGCTACAGTGTGTTGTCGCTGTTAGCTTGCCTGTTGATCTGCCTGTTGTGTGCAGTGTGAATTTTGGTTTTGAGTTGTAAGTTGTTGTCAATCTCATTTCCATTTTGTATATTTTGTAAAGTATTGTAAATACTCTTTTCCACACTTGGAAGCTGTAGGGGGTGAGTGCCATTTTCTTTTGTAAATATTGTTTTCTCCTGTTTTCCATTAGATAGGGAGTTAGGGTTACGTGTTGTATTTTTATTTTGTTTTTCTTTTGTTAGGGAATTTAGTCTTCTGTTAGGAGCTAGCTTGGTGTTTTGTTTGTTGTTTTGGCCTTTGCTCACCTCTGAAGTTGTGCTTTCACTCGTGGTTGTGTAAATAAATGTATAAAGGATCTTTGATTGTTAATGTCAGTTTATGTTGCGGCCTTACCCTAGACAGGGTCGTAACAAATGCGCACGACTGCAGTCGTATCAATGAATGTCTTCAGATGTCAAAATTGCAAGTTTGTAATAAACAAATCTTGCAAGACATTTTAAACTTCAAACCGTCGATTCCAGCTAAAATACGAGTCCTCTATCCATAATATTGCTTTTCCCAACGAGAATATTGTCTCATCTAAATAAAAAAGACATATGCACAGATCAAGCACTGTTTACAAGCGGAAATAGTTCTAAACAAATATGTTGGTGTGTGTTTCGATGTGTAGACAGGGGATGGACTTTTTCACCAGATGAAGCGTTATTATGGATTACGGACAGGAATTTTGGCCAAAAGTGATGGTGTTAGAATGCTTTAATGAAGGATTTGTTTCATACAAACATGCAGCTTTTCGCTTCACAAGACGGACTGGAGTCATGTGGATTACTCTGTTTTTTTTTTTGTTTGGAGTTTCATTCTGACGGCACCCATTCACTGCAGAGGATCCATTGGTGAGCAAGTGATGCAATGCTAAATTTCTCCAAATCTGTTCCAATGAAGTAACAAACTCAGCTACATCTTGGATGGCATGAGGGTGGGTACATTTTCAGCTAATTTTCAGATTTGGGTGAACTATGCTTTTATGTTAACAGTTACAATTTAGAAAATTTTACAGTGTAGTGAAGCTATTCTTCAACCATTGATTTTTCTTGTGAAACTTGTTAAGCAGCCTTGACATAAGCACGCTATGCAGAGACTAGCATCCAAAGCAACACCATATGCTGGTGGTCAGCTATGCCAGCAGGACATTTTAGCCCTCAAATGTTTTGAATGAATCAGACTCACAATTGAAAGAGCAGAACAAAGTCGAATGCACGGCTGGTGTGTTTGCCCAGGAAGAGAACTCCCAGCACGTGCAGATTTGGCTGAAGGTCCTCATCTTGCCTCCGTGCTGTGACGTCCCTTTGCAGAAGACCCGTATCTACAGAGAAAAACACACAGGGAAGCATTTTATCACCATCCATCTCAGAGACATAACCATGGAGGAGAGAGAAGTATAACTTCAGTTAGAATGAAACATGTCAGCAGTTACAATACAGGAACATTTGACTTGGCCCTATAAGTGTCCCCTAAAGAAGACCCCTTTTTTCCCCATAGGAAGCAGTCGTTAGTTGACAGCATTTGTTGCCCAGTGGCCAGAATGTTAGTGCCTGCGCCCCCATGTCTGCCACAGATGAGCAGAACCATCCTTCAACCCCTCCGAGCTGCCACAAATCACTCCCGACGTGAAGTTCTGCCACAATACCATGCCACTTACAGTGCCGCTGTACGAATTTCACACGCTAAATAATGAATCGGTGGAGAGATAAATGAAAGAAAAGGAGGGAAAACAGAGGTGAATGAATATGGCCAGAGATCAGAGAAGTTTGCAGCAGTGAGGAATCAAATTCAGAACAGCAGGAATAATTCATACTGCACTCCTCTTTAGTCCACAACACAGCAGGCTGCAGGAGCAGACACACTCCCAGCCAAACCCTTCAGTAACACTCACACTCCCATTATGCTGTACACACCCAGGTTAGCATATATCACTCTCTTTCTAAGGCAGTTCTACTCTCTTCACTGGTAAACAAAAGAGTCTCCATGCTGTCTAGAACAAGAGCAGCTTATGTCAAGTACAAGAGGAAAACACACTTTTACCACCGTGAATATTCTCAACGTTTGTATGGAGAACAATAAATAAATAAATATTTGAATATATATTTAACCATTTAAAAAAAAATAGTTAAAATACATAATAAAATAATTATAAAAATACAGCTGTAAGTAACAAATATGCAATTATAAACACAGACTATTTTTTTCATAAATATCAATATATAATTGCTAATCTGAATGTATAGTTATACATCCAAATATGTAATAAATAAATAAATAGTAATTTTAGTAAATAAATAGTTATTTTAAATTGCAATAATATTAAACAGTATTACTGGTTTTTATTGTATTTTTGATAAAATAAATGCAGTCTTGGTGAGCATAAGAGACTTCTTTCTAAAAACAATAAAATAATCTTACTGACCCCAACATTTTGACCAGTAGTTTAAAATTTAAAACAGCAAAATATTAAACAAATAACTTTAAAAAAACACTGAAAATGACTAAGAATAGCCTGATCCCAACAACACAATTCAACTTTTTGGTTAAACGTGTTCCATTGTCAACTACAAAAGTGCTATTATAAAAATGATAATGTAGGAATAGTCCAAATTAATCCTAATTTAAATATTACATAGTTTCTTAAATATCCCTCCTCTCTCTCTCTCTCTCTCTATATATATATATATATAAAACTCCAGAATTTCTACTTAAGAGGAGACTGATGGAAATACAAGAAAAAGACACCATTGTTCTGAAAGTAATAAATGGTGCTGCGCTCAGTATTACTTCACATTCACCTGTCTGTGCTGATCTCCCGAGGGAAAAATAAACACAGACCCATAACAGATGTTACATATAATTCTGTTGACACAAGCACCATCAATATTATTATATTTAGTCAGAAATAGATGTGAATTAAAAAAATACATGGTGCAGAAAACATTCATCTGGATGCGTTTCTAACTCCGTCTGAAAAACAGAGCACTCAAAAGTATCGCAGAGTTTCTACTTTTCATTAGGTTGACAAATCACTTTCCAAATAATTTATGTCAGTCAGCCACCAATCTCCCTAATGATGCTTTGGCACGCAATCTGATTGGATTTTTTTACATTAAGTTAAGACTACTGTACCTGTATGGCACAAATGACAAGGGAATGGGCTGTGGAGAGTAGCCGGCTAGAACATTAATTTCGGAGAGGGACCCATCTGCTTGCAGAAAGGGACGGCCAAGTAATTAGGATCGAGAGCTGCTAGAGCTCAACACCTGTCATAGATACGTTGCGGCTCTGAGTGTGTGTGTGTGTGTGTGCATGTGTGTGTGTGTGCATGTGTGTGTGTGTGTGTGTGTGTGTGTGTGTGTGTGTGTGTGTGTGAGAGAGAGAGAGAGAGAGAGAGAGAGATCAGCACAGAAACATCATTATACTGGAGGTGAATGTGCATCACAATGACAGTCTCCACTGCCGCCAGCTCAGTCAGATGTCCACCTACTGTTAGATAACAATTAGAGACACGCTGCACTCGGTCAGCCTCCACACAAACACCTTAATATGCCATTTCTCAAAGCAACTGTGCACCATGAAATCAAAACTGGAGTTTTATGGCTGTTAACTGAGGCCATCTATATGCTAGACACTCCTAAAAGTTCACAAAACAAACTTTTAAGAGATGCAGAGGCCCCAAAAAGCATTTGAGCAGTTTAGCCACACTTAAAAGGACAGTTCACCCAAAAATCAACTTTTACCTTCATGTCATTCCACACCTATGTGATTGGAAACAATTTTGGTTCATATGTGGCACGTGACTTAATGCTAAACACCAAAGCACCAATGAGGTTTGATTAACTTGTCACCATATTTCATTTGGGCTGATGTTTACATGAGTTGAATGATTTGAGAGTGACTTAAATTTCATTTCATTCTGTTCAGGAGTATTACACTGCCTATAGCAATTATGTCTTTGGAGCATGACAATTTTGGACCCCTGTAAATTTATTGCATAAACAAAATCAGCTGAGGCATTATTCAAAAATGTTTGTGTTCTGAAAATGAAATGTCATACTTTTTATGAATTTATTAAATCATATTAAGTTTACATTCAGATTCAAGGTGAGTGAAAGATGATAGCATTTTCATTTTGAGGTGAACTATTGCTCTGAAAATGACTGAATGCTTTGGCATTAAATATTAAACCAATTTTTTTACAAAATAAAACAAGGTAAGCAAAATGAGCAAAATTGAGCAAAATAAAACTAAATGGCAAAGTTTTCAAGCAAAACAATATATACACACACACCCTAGTGAAAAATAAATATACTACAATGTATTTGAAATACATCTATTTCATGATGCTAAGTATACTACAAATACATTTACATATTTATGTGGTTAATAAAAATACCCTGCAATTGTATTTTTGTTATACTAAACTGGTATATTTAAAGTCTGCTAAATTGGAACAACGAATTATGAACTTAAGCACTTTGTGCATAAGTAGTGCTGAAGTCCAACTAAAGATATACATAAAAGTGGAGATATTGCAAGTATACTTTAGGTATATTTGAAATACCTTGTATTTAAAGACCGATATTATTCAAAGATCGTACAATCCTCATAATTAAAACACATTTTAGACTTAATATTAAGAAATGTGCATTGTGCACAGGCAGTAATCCCAATTAAGTTGAATTATAATTTTTATATCAGTAAGTCTAGAGGGATATGTCAGTAAATATGCAAATGGATTTGAACTATACATAATAAATGTATTTTAAATATATTACTTTTTACTAGGGTATATGTATTATTGCTGTTTTCACATTCTCTATTAAAAAAATAAAATAATTTAAATGATGCATGATTTGTTGGAATCGGGCAAAAATAAAACTGACTGAGTTATACCTGTACGCCTTCTTGGCTTATTGCTCTTAAGAACTCTATTAACATCAATCGAGTCCCACACTTTATTCTCTATTCTCATTCCTGCATGTTCCTTTCAAAACCAAAACCAAAATGTCAGATGCAAGTGCTTTGCTTTCCGATGGACAAGGGCAAGTTTTTAAAACAAAGAAGGAGGACCTTTCAGAAAACATACAAACAAATATCATTTTAGATGTTTAATTACTATGTGGAGCATTAGGATTGCTATACGAGGGCTTAACAAATTAATGTTTGTGAAAACCTTAAATTTTGCATTTGTTTTGCCTGTAGCTCGTAAGTAGCCGTGTGCATTCCGACTCATTTTGCCAGATGTGAATTACACAAACAAACACACACACACACACACACACACTGTATGCTAAGCCCAAATATATGATAAGAATATCTAAAAACTATACAACTGCTACAAACTATTGATATGGCAGACAACAGTTCAATAAACAAAAAGTAACTTACATTTTAGATATATAAAGTCAGTTATAAATATTTTTGCTATTCTTGAAAATATCTCCAAAAAAAGCCACCACAGAATCACCAATTTTGAATTTTTTGATTCACTGTTTTTGAATGAATTAGCTAAGTGAAGGATTCTCACTCGTCATTGTCACTTCTCGCGTACTGGCGTAATGATGTAATCTCAAGAGACAAATCTGCCTTGAACTCACAGACAAATTCAAGCGGAGTGATGCAAACAGTAAAAAAATAAAACAATTATATATATATATATAATTTTTTTTCTGGGCTAATTAATGTAATTGTAACGGAAGAGGTCTGACGCAACAGGTTAGTATATCAAGTTTATTTGGTCACAGAGAGTACGGGTGTAGGATCCAGGCGATGATACGGTGAGTGTATAGTTCGTAGAACAGTTTAAAGGATATGATGAGTGGAATGATCAGAGTCCTTTCCTTTACAGGAGCTGGAAAGCACACGGAAGAGCACACACCTTAGCGATCCAGGAACTAGGAGGAACAGGAGACACTAGGAGGAACACAGGAGGTAAGTAATGCAGGAAGTATTCAAATGGAAGCAGTAGTAAAGTCAGAGAGTCCTCTACGTGTGTACAAGACCGGACAATGAGGGTGTCTGAGGTGTGTCCTTTTATGCAGGCTGGTTGATGAGGTGCTTGATTGGTGACAGGTGCAGGTGCTCAGTACTCAGGTGATAGAGATCATTGTGAATGGGTGGTGGTGGAGCCTGGCCGATCTGTTACAGTACTTCCCCCATCCACGGCCTGCTCCTGAGGGCCGAAAACCCCGACATCGTGGTGGTCTACCTCTGCCCCGAGGTGCCGGCTGATCAGGATGGGCAGCATGGAACTCAGACATTAAGGCGGGGTCTACTATATCGGTCCTAGGTACCCATGAGCGTTCCTCGGGTCCA